AGATAAACTCTTTTGCATTTACGATTTCTGTAGGTACATACTTACTAAAACAAAATAAGTATGTTTAGATTATTTTATTATTTTTATGTTTGGCCTTCAGTAACTGTATGCTCTGAATGCAACAGAAGAAATATCTCATTGATTCAGACACATAGGCCAAGGGTAGTACATGGAGTAAAATCTAGGAAAGAGGTTAAAAACTAATTTCCTCCCATTTAACAGACTCAGCATGCAATCTTTTTAAAGTAGCTTAGTTCCCTTTCTGTAACATTAGAAACTCTAACATTCACAACTGAAGACTATAAAGTATTTTGATAATATTTGCCAAAAAATACCCTGCCTGTAAGTGCTGTGTTCAACTGACATTTTCTGCCCCTTCTCGTTTAAGCCACTGCAATATTAATTTAAAAGGGGGTCATCAAGCAGGGCTTAGATCACCTGCTATAGCCTACTTAAAGGTAGTTAAACAAGTGGTATACCCATTATACTGCTTCCTACATAAAAAAGATAGAAGTGTTATTACTCGTTGGATCTCAACTTTTCTCCAGCACCAGTAGGCTTAGAATAGATTGGTTCAAGTGGGGTTGCTGGATCTTGTCCAGTAATTAGGGAATGAGGTTTAAAAGCTCAATCCATCCTATAAACAGATGGGATAAGGGTTGCTTGCTAAATTTACAATGGCACTAGGAGCTAATTGCGTAACTCACAAAGGTCTTCCAGCTACTCTATGCTTGCATCTGTGGGAGGTTTCAAGAAGCATAGCCAGGGCTACAGAGCCTCACTACTACTATAAGACAGTGAAATTCACCTGTGTTTTTCTGCCAGTTTTTCATTTGGAAGAGAATTTCTTTTAGAAATGTTTTCAAAGGAGCGGAGTATTTCAGAAAAGGATTTAAAGAAAGTATTTCTGTACTTATTTAGGGACAAAGTGGGAAGGATATTGTGCCAATGTTTCTTGGTGCTAGAATCTTCCCTGTAGCTGTCTGGTCTTGGTTAATCATCTAGATTTCTTCCTACTGAACTTTTCCACAGCGATATTAAAACCACTAGCAAAGGGAGTTCAGCTCTTGAAAAATTGTTTGACTCTTTTCTTTTCTTTGCAAAATGTCAGAGAAATTGCCCACTATCAAGAGATTTGAAACTGTGTGCCCAGCTCTACTGTGTAAGTTTTTCCCTGCAGCGGAGGATGAAATGACAGGAGGAAATGGAACCAAATTAAAATGGAAAAGGCATTGTTCCAAAAATATACTGCAAAATTGTGTGGGATTGATCATTGAAGCGCTTTTTCAACAAATGACTCCCATTTCTCCCAGAACAAAGCCTGGAGGGATTGGACTACCACTACCACCAGCCCAAACTATCCTACTGATAATCAGGTTATGAAAATGTTTATCTCTCCTGCCCTAGAGCAGGGGTGTCAAACTCAATTTCACTGAGGGCCGCATCAACATTGCGGTTGCCCTTGGGGGGCCGGGTGGGTGTGGCCAGAGTGGGTGCAGCCTACTGGGTGGGCGAGAATGGAGTGGGTGTGGCCTAATGGGTGGGTGTGGCCAGTTCTACATCATTCGTGTCAAGGGTGACTGTGGGGGCATGGGCAGGAGTGGGACAGATCTGAGAGTCTCTGGATGAAGGGGGTGGGACTGGGGCAAGTGCCAAGGCATGGTCCACCGGGACAAGTGCCAAGATGGCCACCACAAAATTGTACATTGGCTCCCGGCTGGCCTGGGCCAGGGCCAAGGCAGCGGGGGCCGTTCCCTCACTGTTTCCAGGATGGCTTCACGGACCACATGAAACCACTTTGCGGGCCGCATCCGGCCCCCGGGCCTTGTGTTTGACATGTCTGCCCTAGAGCAAAGTTTATCAAATTGTATCATATGGAACCTAAATGGGGTTCTGTGAGAGACTAAGAACCAAAAGAAAAGAGGGAAAAAGTTCACTTTAAATGCAACCATTCTCCATCACTAGAATTTTTCCTCTTGCTCAGGGGTTCTTAGAACTTTCTTTTAAACTGGTTCTGTGGCCTTAAAAGTTTGAAATTCCCAGCTCCAGACAGCATTCCTCTCTAGCATTGTATATAACTTATGGCTTATATACAGGCAATCAAGGAAAAATATACCTTCATCTACAAAAGATGCTGCAAGTGCACAAATGAAAACCTATAAACTTGTTCAAAGGACTTAAACCAGCTCGTTGGGAAACAAATATCTTCAAGCATTTCCATTTTGCTTTTCACAGTCATTTTCTTTTACCAAGCCAGAAGGAGAACTGGAAAGTATATCTGGCTCCTGCCCTAGAAGCTTTCGGCAATTTAGGTACATAAGTCATTCTAAAGCCATTTATACCACAGCTCTTTCCTTGCTGCTCTCCTAGGCAGCAAAGGCATCTAGATGGGGACTATCAAAGAAGCATTTAGCACCAATTTTTCCCTCTGTCTGTCTCTCTCACATATCCCCCTCTTCCAACCCACTATCCAGCTCAACACAGCTGCTTCACAGTAATTATCCAAATGGAAAGTAAATGCAATTAATTCCCTAGCAGGAGTCGGGACTTAAAGCTTTACACAGGCAGATTGTGCGGGGGTGTCCCCCCCAAAAAAACTGCAGCAGGACATCATATAAAAATGGCTTATAGGTTACTGAGATCTCAACCCCTTTCATCACACAAGAGTTTGCCAGGTGGAAGTACACAAAAGCTATATTATGTACTTCTGAATCTTAAAAAAATGAAGCCTAATCACAACACATAGGAAAAAAAAGCAGAATCCAACTAGCATGAATGGGAAATTGATTCACACACTAAGTCAGACAATAGCTTCTAACAGTCAATACATCAGCCACATTGTAGCCCATCCCAGGTCATTAACGTTGCCATATAATGATGGATGCATTTGGAACATCTAGTATTCATGCATATAAGAATTAAAGAAGACCATGCTTCAACTTTCAGTTGCAAGCATTTATCACAAGGTTATATTGGTGTAAAAGTATAAAAGCAGAATAATGTGCCATCATCTTAAATACATTTGTGCGGTTATGCACTGTGTTCCTCACACTTTAGGTAGCACTGTCCCTTCATGCAATGGTTAGATATGGCCTGTACATTAAATAT